ACAGATATATTATTAACCATGTTGATCTAAAGCATCATCAAAATGACATTACACTGAGTAGAGCAATTGGACTTCTCGTTCCCATCTCTGAGCACACGAGAGAGAGAGATGGTCGATGACTTGGCAGGCAAAGGAAGCAATTTCACCAAACTGTTTTTCTATCATGTTTTCCTACACCTAAGATGAAGAATGAATTTAAAGAAAATGCAGACCCAAAAATATAGCAGTGCAATCTACTGCTCGAAAAGTCTGAAGGTTTTTAAAAGAGGTCTATTTTGCTCACCAAGGCTGCATTTATTTGATCAAAAATACAGTAAAAACAGAAATATTGTGAACTATTGTTACAATTTAAAACAGCTGTTTTCTATGTGAATATATATAGTAATATATAGTCTTCAGTGTCACATGATCCTCCAGAAAGCATTCTAATATGCTGATTTGCTGCTAAAGAAACTTTTCTGATTAGTATCAGTGTTAAAACAGTTGTGCTGCCCAATATTTTAGCGGAAATTGTGATATGCTTTTATTTATTTTATTTTATTTTATTTTTTTCATTGAAATAAGCATGAGATTTTGAAGTAGAAAAACTTAAATAATATTTATTAGCGATAGAGCCTATTTACACTAAGTGCAAATAACAATAGATTATATTTATACTGTTAAAATAGCAGGATTTTCTACTACGTATTGCAAATAGTGGCAATTATCTGCACCTCATTATTGTAGTGCATTATAAAACAGTATGCAGTAGTAACGTATTGAGTGTGAATTATAATTTTAATTTAAATTATTAAATGGATTCCACCTTATTGGGACAATATAAGCCCTCCCTACACCTACTCTAACCCTACCCGAAACTTTTTGATTATTTCCTTAATTTTTATTGAAAATAAATGCCTTTCTTGACACGAGATTTGAAAAGGGAGAAAAAAAAAATGGCAAAAGGTGGATACAAACTCTCGTCAAAAATAACTATGCCATGTGCTTTACTATCTACACCTGGAGCTGTTATTAGACTATCGTCTTTGGAAGTGTTGACTAGCCCAATCACACATTGGTGGGCGGAGTTAGTGTAAATAGCCTGTACCAACAAGGCGGGCTATTTTCACTTACTGAAATACTTTCTTGTAAAATGTACAGTCTTTGCTTTATTTAGGCCTACTTAACCATTTTATTTGGAAAAAAGGAAGAACAGTATTTATTTGAAATAAAAATATTTGGTAACATAATGTTTTACTGTCAGTTTTGATCAGTTTAATAAAAGTACTACTTCTTTCAAAATACATACATAAATAAATAAATAAATACATAGATAGATGTATGTTTGAATGGTAGTGTATTTGTTGTATAAACTACTTATGGTGTTTTCACCCTTTTTGCAAATGTATGTGAATGCATTTCAATAATCAATTTTTTTCCCTAAATTTGTTTCTTTTTTTTATTTTAAATTTTCATTTTTTATTTTTTTTTTATTCAATTTGTTTGCCTTCTGTACAAGTACTTACAGATGATAAAAACACGTTTGGCAATTCAGGAGACCAGACAAAGCGATAGTCTGTGTTTGCATGTCATTGCTGTGGCCGAATGTGTTGTTTTGCCTCAGGGCAACGCTGTGCAGCAGAAATCCTGACAGAGGGGAAGAAAAACATGACAGAGGGTCTCTCCAGGTGGAGATAAACTTTCAGGAAAAACTGTACTTGAGGGCTGAATGTACATCAGCTGCTGCCGTGGCATTGCCTAGTCTCTGACCATCTCATTTAGATGGAGCGTGAGCCTGGCAACCCCATTAACTCCAGTCTTTTCCTCCCATCTGTCAAAGCACACACAGTCACTTGGCATAAATATTACCAACCTCAGCGACAGGCTTGCTCAGCCAGCCCGAGTTCATCTTTCTGCTGACCTCCATTTAACCTGCAGAAAGCCTCATCTCTGTAAAGCAGGCCTCAAAGTCTGCATTTCTTGCAGCTTTTGTCTGTTTCTCTTAATGCTCTGTAACCTTCCAAAACTCCAAGATGTTTTCGATGGAGATGTATTCCTCTCAAGCGATTCATGCAGAGATGAATTGCTCTGCTATTACCATTTGTTTAAAAAAAACAAAACAAAAAAAACAGTATAGCAGAACTGGAAAGCGCAGGAAGGAAGTCAGCAGATGGCTTCAGACAACCTGATATGCATGCTTTTGTGGAGTTGACTAGCTCAGTGTCAGCAGTTCAGGATTGGGATTCTCTCTCTTCCTCTCTCTCTCTCTCTTTGGCGTATTGGATTTCAGGAACCTGGACTATCTATGAAGCCATAACCAGATCTTCTGTAATCTCTGATAATGCTCCGCTCCCTGACAGCAACAGGAGAGATGAGCAGATTACCTGATAGACAGAGCAATTAACCATCGTCATCCTGCGCTGTAATATTATCTTTATCTCTCCTGCACTTCGCCTGTACTCTGAAATGGCATTTCATGTAACATTAGGTGAGCCATCTATCTATCTATCTATCTATCTATCTACCTATCCATCCATCCATCCATCCATCCATGCATCTATATATCCTGTCTGTTGTACCTAATACTAGATGAATGTGGGTTTAGTATTTATTTATTTATTTTGTCAGAATTGTGTACCTCTCCAGCTTGAAGAATGGGGTTATTTACTTACTTAATTAATTATAAATAACATATGTTATATCGTAATGCTTACTGGGGATCAATTTGACCCCAGCAAAAATACAATTACAACAATTAAAAAACTATCAAAAATACAGTTTAACCAATCCCAGTAAAACGCTAGCAGGAATGTGTACAGATGATGTATTCATATTTAATACCTGAGCACCAAACTTTCAACTTCCCTTCACCAAAATCTATCTATCTATCTATCTATCTATCTACCTATCCATCCATCCATCCATCCATCCATGCATCTATATATCCTGTCTGTTGTACCTAATACTAGATGAATGTGGGTTTAGTATTTATTTATTTATTTTGTCAGAATTGTGTACCTCTCCAGCTTGAAGAATGGGGTTATTTACTTACTTAATTAATTATAAATAACATATGTTATATCGTAATGCTTATTGGGGATCAATTTGACCCCAGCAAAAATACAATTACAACAATTAAAAAACTATCAAAAATACAGTTTAACCAATCCCAGTAAAACGCTAGCAGGAATGTGTACAGATGATGTATTCATATTTAATACCTGAGCACCAAACTTTCAACTTCCCTTCACCAAAAGCCAGGAATGAGAATTCCCAGCACGTTTCGCAAATGAAACACCCATTCAGTTCACGTACTGTATTTGCTGTAATTTAAATGCACGATCACCTCCAGAGCTCACAGACCCTCCCCTGCACACGCACACACACACATACACACACACACGCACACGCACATACACACACACACACACCATCATCATCACGCGGGGACTTTCCACTGTCTTCTGCTGTTTCATACACATCTAATGTTAGATGCTAAATCTAACAATCACAGCAACCCCAAAATTGTGATGAAACATTATTTAGTATGTTTATTAAGCAGTTTCCTCGAGGATGGTGCCTGGTCTCACAGTGTTACTGATTTCAGGTTTTACTATCCTCATGGGGACATTTGACTCTCTCTCTGTCTCTCTCTCTCTCTCTCTCAATTCAATGTGGGCTTTACAATGTATTGCCAAACCATAGTGTTTACATTGAATCTAGAACAGATATATATGCAACAAAAACATGCATGTATATACATTTAAAAAGTAGAACAAAATCAACATTTTAGAATTCTATGAACAATTTAAAATTCAACGTGGTCTCTCTCTCTCTCTCTCACACACACACACACACACACGCATTTCGCATTTGACGTCTCTGAAAGTCGTCTCATGCCTGCAACAAAGCTAAAGAAGCATCTCAAGAACATTTGGATTTGTGCAGCGTGTCCAGATAGCGCCTCTCCCGCGCGTCGGTCGGTGGGCAGCGCGAGGCGTGTCTGCGGCGCGTTTCTCCTCACCACTCCCATTTACCGGCGGCTGAACTGCAGAAACAGCGCTTCATTTATAACGCACGCAGCTCAATAGACGTCTGGAGAGGAAATAAACGCTTCTCTCATCGGAGAGTCTCTCAACACCCGGCGGACGGGAATAATTCATCGGGGGGCGGTTGCGTATGACTTGGGATAATGTTTGGATATACTGGAGCACAGGCGAGGACTTCCAGTGATCGCGTGGATTAGGTGACTTTGATCCTTTTGTGCAGAACAACTACGTTTGCGTGCGTATGGCAGC